GGCTAATTTTTGATTTATTGTAGAGACGAGGTCTCGCCAAGTTGTCCAGGTGGGTCTCGAACCCACGGACTAAGGCAATCCACTCACCTCGGCCTCCCAAAGTGCTGGAATTACAGGCTGAGCCACCGAGCCCGGCCGTAACTACTATATTTCAACTGGCTTTATAATATAATTCTTACTGGGAAAAGAATCCTTGGTCACACAAGCTTGGTAAATGCAGGTTCAACAAAGCTAAGCAGACTTCTTTGCTGCAGGACTTCTTAGAAGTGTACTGGTATGCCTTGAGAAATTCCAAGAGTGGGATATGGGGCATAAGACTGGACTTCACAGATCACAGGGACCCAGGAGCTAGGTGTCCACATGGCACCATTCAGCTTCATCAATCTCTAGTCTTTGCCCCGGTGGTGGAATAGAAATTTTGCTGGATTGGGTAACTCTGGGGAAAGCCTTCCTGTCTCTGAGCTCTGGTTTCTTCAATATAAAACAAAGAGTTGCATGAGATGCTTTCAAAAGCTCTTCTGGCCCCCTGAGGTTTACAAGTTGTGGACAAGTGTGGAGTCTAGATTGTTGAGGCTAAGCCCATAGTCTTGGGAAGAGGAAGAAATTCTGCATTGGCTCTCTAGCCAGCAAAGCAGGCCGGCGGCAGGGGATGGGGGTGGGTAGGAGGGATGGGGAGTTGTTTGCCTGCTCTGGACAGAAGGGCCCATTCATTAGTCCACCAGCAAGGTGTGCTTCCTCAACCTGCCCTGTGCTGGGCACTCTGGGGAATAGGATATAGAAGAGTCCTGTGCTCCCTGGGTAAAAAACTAGCTCTCCTTGTGCAATACAGTGACTTATTTAACCCCTGCCTCCCCACTGGACTAGGAAAGGCCCAAACCAGAGCTGACTCCAGAATCCTGACACAGAGCAGCATAGGGATGCGAATCTAGCCTGGGAGGGAGTGCGGTCTGGGTCTTGGCTGGACGTTGCCTTTGCATAGCAAGCTCCGTGCAATTATCTCAGTGGTTTTGGGGGTGATCACAGCGCTGCAAGTGTCAGAGAACATGAATGTTTTATCCTGCCAGAATCTCAGCCTCTTAAGGTAACGGGGGCAAAGGTAGTTGCAAGAGATTTCTGGTAAACCTGAACGCTGAGGCCACTAAGCTTGTTGGAGGGAATTTACTTGGCAGAGGGTGTGGGGGAATTGTCTGGCAGGTTTTTCAATAGATATTTGAATTCGTGGAGGACATAATGAATGATGATAAGCCTGAATTATGTAACTGTACTAACCAAACAGTGTATAATTAGGAAATGATTAATAGTGCTTGCCACTTTGTCTTGCAAAGAGTGGTTAAGAGCGCAGACAAGTTCAGGGCATGCCTCTGCCACTTTCTTGCTAGGTGAGTGGACAAAATACTTAACTTCTCTGTGTCTCAGTTTTCTTATCTGGAAAATGAGATAGTATCTACTTCATTATAGCAAATGTTGTATAAACATTTGCTGGGATTGGTTTTCCTTTCTGCAATGTCTTTCAGATCATGATATCCCCAGTGGCAGGGATCAAATCCTTTTTTCTCTGCCCCATCCAGCATAGGGTCTGAGGCAAAGAAGGGCTCAGTAAGTGTTTGTTCAATGAATGAATGGGTGAATGTGTCTTAAGGGTGAAATTATGTAACTTATTATAAGTCAGGGGAAAGTGGGGTGGGTGGGAGCAGTAAGGATGCCCCCTCAGGTCATCAGCTTGTGCTGGCCTTAAAGGGTTTCAGTGCAGGGTGTGACACTGGGAGTATGAGGCCCTTGAGTGCCAGGATGTGGAGTTATACCTGATTTATTTGGAATTAGCAACCATAGGTGGTGGGGGGCAGGGGATGAAGAGGAGACCTTGAGAGTGGGGGTGTGGCTCAGTGGTTGTTAGCTGTGAACTTTCAGGAAAAAAGTGACTTTCTGAGTTGGGCCTTGCAGTGATATCGGAATGCTGTTCATTTAGCAAACACTGAGTGCCAGTTACCTGCTGAGCACTAGGGGTTCACAAAATAACGAGACAAACTGCCTACCTTGATGAGTTCACAGTAACAACTTGAATGTCCGTGAGAAGCATTATGATGGTCAAAGGATGGTCTGATGAGGTCCTCAGGTGGAAGTTATCATAGGAGGTTCAGGGGACCAAGGAAAGCATTGTAGAAAAAATGCGTTTTGAAGAATGAATAGATGGTTGCCTAGTAGGCAAGGTGAAAAAAATGCCTCAGGCAGAGGAAACAACTTGTGCAAAGCTATGGACATGTGAAGCAGCCGGCCGGGACTGGGTGAGGCTGTAACTGAATTTGAAGAGCACTGTGGTTGAGCAACATGACTGGGGAAGACAGCAGGGGCCAGATCATGTAGGGTAATGGAGGGTCAGTGGGAGAGCCTGCCCACTCTCAAGGGGTATAGGTAGAGGCAGCAGGTCTGTGAGCAAGGTCACCTGTTAGCTAGTGAACACTGATGGTGGCACACACACAGGCTGAGAGAGCCTGTTCCCATCTCACGTGTTCCACATGGTTAGATCTGTACTTTAGAAGGGAAACAGCTGGGGCTGCTGTGTGGAGCCTGTACAGGAAAGGCTATGACTGAGGCAGGGAGTCTTATCAGTTAGTGCATTCCTCAAACATGCCTGGACCACCTATTATGTGTCAGGCACTGTCCTGTCCTTGTTCTCACAAGGCCAGAGCTGAGCCTTTCCTTAGGATAACTTCTTTCTTAAGCCCAGCACAAGGATGAGGGTGAGAGGAGGAGGGAGTATGGCCTGGGCATCCGAAACCCCAGCTGCTGCTCTTGGGGTTGAGGAGGACACCAGGCCCCTGACTCTGCTCTGGCCTTTTTCCCTGCTCCCTGCCCAGGCCCCACAACCATGGCCATGGCCCAGAAGCTCAGCCACCTCCTGTACAGTCTGCGGCAGGTCGGCCGGGAGCCTCGGCCGTCTCTGCAACCAGAACCTTCTGTCTTCACGGTGGACCGAGCCCAGGTGCCACCCCTCTTCTGGAAGCCATACATCTATGCGGGCTACCGGCCACTGCACCAGACTTGGCGCTTCTACTTCCGCACGCTGTTCCAGCAGCACAACGAGGCGGTGAATGTCTGGACCCACCTGCTGGCGGCCCTAGTGCTGCTGCTGCGGCTGGCTCTGTTTGTGGGGTCCGTGGACTTTTGGGGAGACCCGCATGCCCTGCCCCTCTTCATCATCGTCTTTGCCTCCTTCACCTACCTCTCCTTCAGCGCCTTGGCTCACCTCCTGCAGGCCAAATCTGAGTTCTGGCACTATAGCTTCTTCTTCTTGGACTACGTGGGGGTAGCTGTGTACCAGTTTGGCAGTGCCCTGGCGCACTTCTACTATGCCATTGAGCCCGCCTGGCATGCCCAGGTGCAGGCCATTTTCCTGCCCACGGCTGCTTTTCTGGCCTGGCTTTCCTGCACCGGCTCCTGCTACACCAAGTACATCCAGAAACCAGGGCTGCTGGGGCGCACGTGCCAGGAGGTGCCCTCGGCACTGGCTTATGCGCTGGACATCAGCCCTGTGGTGCACCGCATCTTGGTGTCCCCTGACCCTGCCACGGATGACCCGGCTCTTCTCTACCACAAGTGCCAGGTGGTCTTCTTTCTGCTGGCTGCTGCTTTCTTCTCTACCTTCATGCCCGAGCGCTGGTTCCCGGGCAGCTGCCATGTCTTCGGGCAGGGCCACCAACTTTTCCACGTCTTCTTGGTGCTGTGCACGCTGGCTCAGCTGGAGGCTGTGGCACTGGACTATGAGGCCCGGCGGCCCATCTATGAGCCTCTGCACACCCACTGGCCTCACAACTTCTCTGGCCTCTTCTTACTCACTGTGGGCAGCAGTATCCTCACTGCGCTCCTCCTGAGCCAGCTGGTACGGCGCAAACTCCATCAGAAGACCAAGTGAAGGGGGTGGGAGGCATGGTGGGGGCACAGGGGTTTGGGCTTGGCTCCAGATGGGAACGAGGCCTGGTAAAGTTGTTTGTGTCTGGCCCGCGGTGACTCTGCACACACCTCAACTGCCAAGGATGGCACTGGCCACTCTTTGGATATGAAAATTGGCCAGGAACTGCTGGGGCCCAGTCCTGGGAGAGGAAAAAAGATAAAGGCATAGGCCACCCTGGCTTGCCCCTCCTTTGCCACTCACTGGGGTGAGGCTGAGGGTCAGCTTGGGGTAGGACTCCAGTTTGGGGCCTCCAGATTGTATGGGTGGGAGGTGAAATTTGAGCCAGAGTTGGATTTAAGCTGAGAGGCAGGGAGGTCTAAGCGACTCACCTCCTATCAGATTTCACTGGCGGATGGAGAAGCAGGCCCAGAATATGTGCAGGGTCTTACTGTCCCCCTGAAGTCTAGCCTTGAGTGGTGGAGCTCCAGACAGTCGCCAAAGGTAGAAGATTGTGTCCAATGCCAGCGGATCCTGTCCAGTGCCTCATATCCTGCTAGTCACTGTCCTAGACAGCGAGCCCCAGGTCCCCTAGCTCTGGCCTGTGTTCCACCCAGCCTGTTCCCATCTTCTCTCCTGGTTCCCTCGTTCACAGATCAGTGACCATTCAGTGTTTCCTGGGCCTCTGTTTGGAAGCAGGCCATGCTGGCTGGGCCCTGCGGGTTAGTGCAGGATGACAAAGATTTTAATATGGAAATGAACTGCCAAGGGAGGCTCTGAGGAGGGAGTAATAAATGTTGCCAGGGACCCTTGGGGTCTTGGACTGGGAAGGGTGAATAGAAGTTTGCAGATGGACAATAGGAAGAAAGGAAAAACCTGTGCAAAGGTCCAGAGGTGCTGAAGGAGGAGTTCCGTGGGGCTGGGGCTAGGGGTGGTCTGCACTCTAATATGTCCCAAATGCAATAAAGTGACTGTGACAGTAGCTGCCTCCGTTTTTTTGTCTCGTGTCCTTGGGAGGGGCCCCTGCTTACAGTGCTGGAGGAGGTTTTCCGGAGGAAGCTGGGGCCCCGGGGGGTGGACACAGGGTGGAGGGGAGTAGTTCTTGCTTTATCTGTGTCCGAGGGTGAGGTTGGAGCCTTGGATACTTTATACATATGTATTAAATTATTTTGGCAAGTGAGTAGGGGGCAGTTTTATTACTAAAGTTTTAGCAATAGTTAAAACAATGTATTTACAATATGTATCATCCCACCTCCTAATTTGACAAGGATTTCATTTTTTTTCCTTCAATTAAAATGGATTTTAGCTGGGCTCGGTGGCTCAGCCTGTAATCCCGCGCCTTTGGGAGGCCGAGGTGAGTGAATTGCCTGAGTCAGCAGGTTCAAGACTCGCCTGGGCAACTTGGCGAGACCTCATCTCTACAATAAATCAAAAAATCAGCCGGGCGTGGTAGCGCGTGCCTGTCGTTCCAGCTACTTGGAAGGCTGAGGCGGAAGGATCGCCGGAGCCCAGCAAGTCAAGGTTGCAGTGACTGGGAGCGGCCACTGCATTTCAGTCTGGGCAACGGAGTGAGACTCCAACTCAAAAAAAAAAAGGATTTTAATGTTAACTTTTGTAATACTGCTTCTCCATAGTACACAGCAACATTTGTATAATGAAGGAAACTTGGGAAGATAAGGAAAAAAAACAAATTAATTAGAAATATCACTCCACTGCTGGAATATCCTGGAATAACCTTGTAAGATATATATAGAGGATTCCAAAAAAAGTATACATATTTTAAGAAAGGAAAAAACTATTAAAACTGTAATACTCAATATATACTGATAACAAAGGATGAATACAAGTCACATTTGACTTCTGCAATTACAAGAGGTGCTCAAAGTGGTTACCATCAGCATCCAGACACTTATGATTACGGTGAACTAAAAGTCATACATAGATAACGTCGCTTAACATGTGTGTACATTTTTGACACCTCCTGGTGTATGTATATGATATGTATGTACATTAATACATATTTTGGCTGGGCATAGTGGCTCACGCCTATAATCCCAGCACTTTGGGAGGCCGAGGTGAGAGGATTGCCTAAGACCAGACTGGGCAACTTAGTGAGACCTCATCTTTACAATAAATCAAAGAAGTAGCCGGGCATGGTACATATGCTTGTAGTTCTAGCTACTTGGAAGGCTGAGGCGGAAGGATCACCTGAGCCTAGCGGGTGGCCGTGAGCATGCCTCTGCACTCCAGCCTGGGAGACAGAATGAGACTCCAACTCAAAAAATATATATTAATACATATTTTAATGTTATTAAATATATAACACATATCCATATATTCCACCTATGGTGATGTGGTTAGGGACAGAAGGGTGGGTAGCGTGCCAGCATTTCTGCATTTGAGGGGCTTTCCAAATTGACATGTATCCTCACACACCTCACTTGACCTCTTTAAAATCCAAGGTCACACAGTAAGTCAGGACTGAAAGCTAGTCGTGACTCCAGATTTTTACTTCTTTTCAAAATCCTCTTCCATGTGGCTTCGTAGGGACGCTTAGATTTATTTATTTTACATTACGAAAGTGACTGACAAACTCGAGGCCGTGGTGGCCCCGGGTGGAGGTCGCCGCTGCTCTGGAGCAACGCACGGTCCTCGGCTCCAGGCCTCCTCGCAGGTTCAGCGAGGAGGCCGGACAGTCCCGGGCCCGGGCAGTCATATTCACAGTAAGAAACTTCCATTTCAGCAAAAAGAAAACGCACGTTCCTGGCGGTGTGGAGAACCGTTCACGCAGCAGTTTCCTGTATCCACTTCACGAGAAGATTAGAGGGAACACGGACCCCTCGGGGACAGGAAAGCGTCCCGCCCCCCGGCGGCTGTTGACGCGTGGGCGGGGCGTAGGGGAAGAGGCGGGGACAGGTTTGGAGGCGGGGCCTGCGCCCAGGGCGGCCGGAGCGTAGCTCCGCCCCCAGCGTTGGCGCGAGATCCGAACGTCGGCGGCGGCGGTTCGCGCCGGTCCCTGAGGCGTCCCGAGCCCGGGACGTGCGTCCTGCTGGCTTGGTCTCCTCAGCGGCCATGAGGCGCAGAGGCCCTGAGGAGGAGGCCTGCGGTGTGTGGCTGGACGCGGCGGCGCTGAAGAGACGGAAAGTGCAGGTGGGACGCGGGGCACGAGAGGGTCCCGGGGGAGAGGTTGGGGCCTGAAGGCGTAAGAAGGGCGGAGCTTTGGGGGGGCGGTGACGGGAAGTGATGGAGAGTTAAAGTCGGGGACATAGAAGGGAAGAGCTTTGGGGACTCACAGGTGAGAGGGATTGGGGTTGAAGAATGTTGAAAAATGGGACTCGCGAAGCGTGGAGGGATGGGGCGGAAGGAAGGCGTGTGCCGTGGAGGGAAACTGAGAGCCTGCGACGGCAGGGGTCCCGCGGGGCGGGGGCGGGGTCTCGCGGGGCGGGGAGAACGTTTGTTTTGAGGAGTTTAACCCCGCAGACTCCTTCGGAGCTCAGAGGCCCTGCAAGACGGGCCTAGCGGAGGCTGAGATGTCGGGAGATGGGTGATGTGCGGGTTTGGGAAATTCTCTCCCGGGGGTCTGTTTCTGCCCCACTTGCCGGGTTGCAGGCCATTTACCTGCCCAGAACCAGCAACTGGGGAAGAGTAGAAGAGGTGGGAAGGGGAGCTGGCCTGATGTTTAGCGAGCACCTGTGGGTGCCACATACTGTGTTAGACACTCAGTATGCATTATATGTGTCGCCGCTCTTAACTGGGAATGAGGAAACTGAGGTTGAGGAATTCAGGTTCTCCCAACTAGGAGGGCTGGGAATCGAACCCTGGTCTGTCCCCCAGCAAGATGCTCTTTAGTCACGTTAAAGCAACAAAAGTATGAGATTCTAATCATTCACGTTTATTATGCTGGTGCTAAGAGTTTTAGATATGTTGTTGGGTACAATTCTATGTAGTAGATAGTATGACGACACCCATTTTACATATGAAAAACTGAGGCTCAAAACCGACACTAAGGACAGGCCTCTTGCTCTCAAGTCTTATGGAGAAGAATATAGGTGTATAGATAATAACAATATCTAACATTTATTGAACGCTTACTGTGTGTCAGGCACTCTGCTGGGACTTTAATGCTTTATCAGTGACGGGCACTCACCAAAATTCAATGAAGTAGATTCTGTCATTATCCTAGATTTAAGGATGAAAAAAATTTTTTTTGAGTTTGTGTCTTACTCTGTCTCCCAGGCTGAAGTGCAGTGACACTATTACGGCTCACTGCAGCCTCTACCTTCTGAGCATACGTTACCCTTCTGCCTCAGCCTCCTGAGTAGCTGGGATTACAAGTGTGTGCCACCACACCTGGCTAATTTTTTCTTTTTCTTTTTTTGAGTCAGAGTCTCACTCTGCCGCCCAGACAGGAGTGCAGTGGCATGATCACGACTACTGCAGCCTCAACCTGCTAGGCTCAGATGATCCTTCTGCCTCAGCCTTTCTGGTAGCTGAGACTACAGGCGCATGCCACCATGCTAATATTTGTATTTTATTGTAGAGATGAGGTCTTGCCATGTTGCCTAAACTGGCCTCAAACTCCTGGGCTCAGACAATCCTCTTGCCTTAGGTTCCCAAAGTGCTAGGATTACAGGAGTAAGCCACTGTGCCCAGCCTAATTTTTTTATTTTTGCAGAGATGAGGTCTCACTATGTTGCCCAGGCTGATCTTAAACTCCTAGGCTCAAGCAATTCTCCCACCTTGGTCTCCCAAAGTGCTAGGATTACAGGTGTGTGCCATTGTGCCCAGCCACAAAAGTGTTTTTAATAGCAAAATATTGAGCCTGATGCTGTGGTTCATGGCCTGTAACCCCAGCACTTTGGGAGGCCAAGGCGGGAAGATTGCTTGAGCCAATGAGTTCGAGACCAGCCTAGGCAACATAGTGAGAACTTGTCTCTACAAAAAAGTAGCTGGGTGTGGTGGTGTACACCTGTAGTCCCAGTTACTCAGCAGGCTGAGACAAAAGGATCATCTGAGCTCAGTAGATATAGGCTGTAGTGAGCTATGGTTGTGCCATTGTCCTCTAGCCTGGGTGACAGAGTGAGACCCTGACTCAAAAAAAAAAAAAAGAAAGAAAAAAAAAGTCATCTTGCTTCCTTCACAACCTTTTTTTCTTCTCTAGTTTGTGAATTAATGTGCAAAAAAGTTTGAGTTTTATCGTATTACAACACAAAATGGTAACTGTTTTTCCCCCAAATATAGGGGAAAAGGTTAATTTGTGGGTGATAGGGTTAGATAGAGATCTCAAAATGTACAATGACTATTTATTATTCCTTGAATGGGAATAAGCCTTTTATATAATTAGAATACATTCTTGAATGATATGGGATGGGTGGGAAACCTGCATGCCAGTTTAATTTAGAAAGAGGAAGGAGGTGGAAGAGAGCTAGAAAGAGTTCAGGAGAGAGGGAATAACCCGCAGAGAGGAGGACAACCAATATTTGTCTCTGTGTCTACAATGCCTATATTGCAAACCATGCCTCTTTCCCTAATGGTGTTATGGTGAAGACGTTTGTCCTGTTGTAAATGTAGTGCTTGGCAGGTATGGAATAATTTCTCCAGGCCCTTACCTTTGCTTTCTAGAGGACTTGACTTTTTACTAACACCATTTCCCCTTGTCAATTGATTCCAGATGATAGTTGTAAAACACTTTGGTTCCTGATTAGTATCTGTTACTCTGCCTTAGAGCAACAGTACTAAAGATGACCTTTCATAGGATATAGAACGTGCCTCTTCCTAGAATGCTGTCCAATAGGCACACAATCCTTAGAGTTTTAATGTCAGAGATGGATGGGCAGTAGCTAGTGGCTGGTGTTTTAGGAAACATGCTGATTTCCACAACTGTCTGCTATTTTTGGGAGAATGAGTAGTTTATAGTCTGACCAGTAGTTAATAGAAGTCTGTGTTTGGAGTGAATTTGCTTCTCTCCAGTCTGACAACCCACAGGTATGATAGCTTTGGCCTTATTACTTAGGCCCTTTATGGAGGATACTAAATTTATTTTCATTTTTTTAAATCATGAAAGTAATTTATGTTAAAAAAATTAAATAGTATAGAATTGTGATAAGTAAAAACAAAAGACCTCACTGGTAGTAGCTACTGTTAACAATTTGGTATCCTTTGATACACTGCATATGTATATATTTTATGTCCCTTCCTCCATGGGATTATGCCAACTATATTGTTCTGCTTCTACTTAACCTTTCACTAAATATGTGATGGAGAACTTTCTCTGTGCGAATATAGGTTTATTTTTGTTTTTTTAGAGTCAGAGTCTCACTCTGTTGCCCAGGCTGGAGTGCAGTGGCACACTCACTGCCATGCCAGCGTTGACCTGCTGGACTCCGGCGAACATTCACCTCAGCCTTCCAAGTAGCCGGAACTACAGATGCCCGCTACCACACCCAGCTACTTTTTTGATATGTTGTAGAGATGAGGTCTCACCAAGTTGCCCAGGCTGGTCTCGAACCCCTGAGCTCAGGCAGTCCTCTCACCTCAGCCTCCCAAAGTGCTGGAATTACAAGCTTGAGCCATGCCTGGCCAAATACGGGTTTTATTATGGATTTTCAAAGGCTATTTTAATTTATATATATATATTTGAGTTGGAGTCTCACTCTGTTGCCCAGATGGCAGCACAGCGGCATGCTCACGGCCACCGCAGCCTCGACCTACTGGGCTCAGGCGATCCTTCCACCTCAGCCTTCCAAGTAGCTGGAACCACAAGTGTCTGCCACCATGCCTGGCTAATTTTTTTATTTATTGTAGAGACAAGGTCTTGCCAAGTTGCCCATGCTGGTCTCAAATCTCTGGGCTCAGGCAATCATTTCACCTCTACCTCCCAAAGTGCCAGAATTACAAGCATGAGCCACCATGCCTGGCTCTTTTTTTTTTAAGTCTTGGTATGTTGTCCAGGCTGGTCTCAAACTCCAGCAATCCTCCTGCTTCAGCTTTCTGAGGAGCTGGGATTATGGGCATGAGCCACCATGGCCTGACAATTCTTTCTTTTTCTTTCTTTCTTTTTTGAGTCAGTCTCTCACTCTGTCGCCCAGGCTGTAGTGCAGTGAGTGGTATGCTCACAGCTACTGTAGCCTTGACCTTCTGGGCTCAGGTGATCCTTTTGCCTCAGCTTTCCAAGTAGCTGGAACTGTAGGTGTGTGCCACCACGCCCAGCTAATTTTTTGATTTATTGTAGAGATGAGGTCTCGCCATGTTGTCCGGGCTGGTCTTGAACCTGTGAGTTTAGGCAATACTCTCACCTCAGCCTCCCAAAGTGCTGGGATTACAGGTGTGAGCCACCACACCCAATTTATTTCCCCCCTTTTGAACTGCAGTTATGCTATGCCTGTTTCACAACTGTATGTTAGGCATACTGAGGAAAGATAACTTGTCTCTAGTTCACAAGTTACAGATCTAAAGGAATTGTATTTAAACTATATTTGTGGACTTGATGTGTACCTGTTTTAGATGCTAGTATCCATGATTTTGAGCTGATGCTATGAAGGAATAAGAATTTTGTAGAGCTTTGGGAGAGAGTGAATGTATCTTTCATTTGGGAAAGATGTACATAAATTTGGGGCAGAAGGTAGACTGATATTTTTAAAATATGAGGGGGGAATCCCAAAAAACCAAAAAACAAAAAATGGAATTTATTTATAAAAAATTGTGTATTTATTCTTACATGTTTAAACTTCAGTCACCTTCAAAGTACTCTCTGTTTGCTTTAACACACCTATCGAGATTCTTTTTCCACTGCTCAAAACAGTTTTTAACTTGTCAATTTTGGTGCCTTTTAGTGCTTCTGCCATTTTTTGTTTCACCTTTTTCACTGTGGCAAAACATTTCCCTTTGAGGACTTTTTTCATTCTCGGAAACCAAAAAAAAGTTGCTTGGGGCAAGATTGGATGAATAGGGAAGGTGGGTGCATTGTCATGTGAAGAACCAGTCACCTGTTTGCCACAATTTTGAATGTTTCTTCCACAAATCATGATACAACCTTCTCAGAACTTCCAGATAAAAACTTTGGTTGACTGTTTGATAAGAAGGAACAAATTCCGAGTGTATTACAAAGGGCCTGCCCTTTAAAAGATAAATTCCGGTTTTTTGGGGTACCC